CTGTAAACTTATAATCAATCAAACCAATGTTCAAGGGCTAAAAAAGAAACCCAAAAAGGGCACAGGCTTCATGTTCAATAGTGACAAACTTGGGGTGGGTAAACCAGAAGATTGCAGTTGGCAATCAACAGGTTTTCGGAGACCGGCATCCCAGGTAGGTTTGTATGAACCAGTTGATTTCTTTCTCCCTCTCTTTCTTCTCCCCCTTGCTCCCCTCCAAAATACATTCTTGAATCGCAGGCAGGCTGGGCTGCCCGTAAAGCTGTGTCTGGCATTCACAAGCAGAACAAGCGCACTGTCACTCCAGTGCACCCAGAAGAGTGGAGATGTGGCAACCCCACCAGCGGGCCAGGGGCATGGCACGAGCTGGCTCCGCAAGGTGGGCAAAGCTCCTCGGGCTGCATAGGATGAAATCCAAATAATTTGTCCTTTCCCCCCCATACTGTAAATCCTATACCTGTGCAGTCTATATGTGTTACAGACAGACAAACCCCTGCTTTCCCCCAGCCCCATCATCCCCAACCGCGTAGCCTTTGTTGGATGCCCCAGGTAACCCCCCAGCAAAGCTGGAGGAGGGTTGACTTCAAACTCCACTAAACAGTAGAGGCACAATGCAAACAAATGTATTGCAGCACGCAGCTATGCAAATAGCTTTAGAGCACAGCACGTTTTCCCCAGCGTTAATTGCTGCACCACCAGGGTTGCATAGCAACAGCTCCGTTTGTGTCTCTGACAGCTCCTGCCCCTTGATGCCTCTGACACCTTCTGCGGCAGGCAGGGAAGGAGGAGAGAACAGGGCTGCCCTGGGAAAGCTAGAAGGGCCAGGAGGTAGCAAGAGGCTCAGGTGATAAGATTTGCTTGGGACCCCAGGGTGTCCTGCTGACACAAGGTGACACGTGCTGGGGGGCTGCAGGCGGGGTGTAGGCAGCTTTCAAGGCTGGTGGCCAGAAAGGGCAGACCTGCCATCCCCCAGGTTCTGCAGGAAAGCTCACTGGCAGGTGGGTTGTCTCTCCCATCTTAGTGAATCCTTCTGGGTACCCCATACAGGTTTGTGACTATGCTTGCAGCTTGGCTATAGGCATAAGGGATCCCCAGTAAGTCACCCCTCCCCAGCCGCAGAGCTGCAGCAGGCTTGTGACCTCTCCAGCCTTTGAGAGAGATGACACAGTCCTCATGCACACCCAAAACTAAGAGAGCCTCAGGGCAAGCCCTGTGGGAAGGGGTGAGCGTGGGCACTGGGGAGAGGGTGCAGATGGTATGGGCTGCCCTGGGCTCCCTCACATATCTGCTGAGCCCAGCAGCTTCTGCCAGGCTGACCTGTGCCTCCCAAAATGCGGGCGCTTCAGAAACAGGGGTAGCTGCCTCCCAAGGACAATATTTCCTTACATTTGTTCCCAATTCCTCTGCATTCGCCAGTCGGTCTTCAGCTCTCACTGCGCCTTTGCCTGCAGGGCTGAGGAACCTGTTAGTAGCCAGCATCTTCCCCTGGGAAGGCACTTCAGCTCTGCATTCAGCTCACCTCTCCTCTCCTCTCTGATAAGCCACGTAAATAAACAGCTTCTCTGCAACAGTTTACACAATCAGTAAGCAACCCTACCTGAAGCCGTGGGGCACTTGAAATATAAACTCTTCTGTTACACCTGAGCATGAAGCAAGCCCTTCTCAGAAACTGCCTGAAGTAGCGATGATGCAGGCAATCCTGCATCCATCAGCCACTGGGCAAGAGAATGGTCATGGACATGTTTTATTTAATAATAATAGCTAGAACAGACAGGAATGGTGGGAACTACTGGACAGCTATGAAGGCCCGCATATAAGCAGGTCCCAGTGAGCACAGAGCTGTGTCTGGGAGATCTGGGCATGGAGAGGCACAGGCTGCAACTCAGCAGCCCAGGGGAACGGGGAGAGGAAGGACTGAGGTGGGATCCAGCTGTGCTCAGAGCCCAGCTGCAGGTGGTGGGGAGAGCTCTGCCTCAGGGTTGTCCTTTGAAACTGAGAAAAAGGGGATACTGCCTGCAGTACCCAACAGGGGTGAGGTAGGGAAGGAACAGATGAACTCAAGGCAAGAAGTTGCAGCCTATCTTTGAGCCAACATGAGGTGAAAGCAGAGGGCCCTGAATGCAACCTGCCTGCAGAATCAGGTGAACTATATTGCTGAGCATGAGATGGGTCTTCTAAGGACAAAGGGCATCAAGGCTGGATAGATTTATTTCCTTTATTGAGCAGGAAAAATACTTGTACGTGTGTGTATCTCAGATTTACTCCTTGGACTACAGTGGGGCAAATAAGGTGAAAACAAGCACTATGGCCTCAGTCACACTTCAGAGAAAGAAATTAGTTGAAGACAAGGCAGAAATGCCACCCTGGAGTCTTTAGGACCAGGGAGCCCAGGTCCCCTCCGCCATACAAGCAGAACATGGGCCTTTTGCTGCCCCACACACCCATGCAAAGCAGGCATGACCTCCAACCCATTGCATTCAGCATGGCTGCTGCAAGGTGAGGAAGGACCATGCCTGGTTACTTGGGTTCCTTCTCCCAAATTAGGGACTCTGTACACAGACCCATAATCTCCTCACTGGCCAGGCATCTCCCAGCCTGTATCTCAACTTTCCTTCCTCACCACCCACCTGGGCAACCGCTTTGTCTGTGCCATGGGTGCTTCCTTTGCAGGCGTTTGTGCGTAGCACCAAAGGCACCCTGGCAAGGAGGGAGTTGGCTGTTTTGCCATTGTAACAGCTTCCCAAGGCTGCCCGGGGAGCATGGCAGCAGGGTGGGCCAGGGCAGGGCCACACCTCTGCCACTGCCATTATAAATTCAGGCTCGCTGGGGGAAGATGGCTGCTGCTCATAGGAGCTGGGCTTGTGAGCTGGTAAGAGGAAAGCAACCGCCCTCTTTGCAAAGGTGGAAAAAAGTTGTGCTGAGCTCTGCCTCTTCCCAAAGCCCCCTGCTCCAAGCCCTCCTCTTGCAGGGGAGGTGAAAGGTTTTTTTTATCCCCTTTGTTATTCAACAGGGCAAGGGGAGGAGCTGGGCTGTGTAAGAGATCCTGGCTGACACAACCCTTCCCATGCAGAGCTCTGGAGAGGGGCCAGGTTGTACCTGAGCGTTTTTATTTAAACTAATCCCAGGCATTGCAAATTGAAAGTCATCGCAGCGCCAGGTAGAACCAGTTGAGACGGTTGCTGGAGGGCGTTTTTCTCGCCCGGGTGTAGTAAAGCGAGGTACGTTGTTTATTGCTAACCCTGGGAGTTTGTTCTGGAGGTGCCGGAGCACATTCGGCGAGCTGAGCTCGCTCAGCCTTTCCGGGCGGTTTTGGGAAAACCCTGCCCAAGAAGCCTTTAAGGAAACTGAGTGGCTGTGACTAAGAGGCAAAGCCTCATTACGCTTAAAAATTTGGGGAAATTGGAAAACAAAGGGCTGGCTACCAGATGCTCACTACAGGCTTGGCTGCAGCCTAGGGTTTCTGGGTGCCACCTGGCCAGCCCAGGGCCCGAAGCGGCCCCTGGGCACCTTTCCTTGCCCTTTGCCAAGTTTGGGAGCAGATTGCTGGAGGTGCCTCCTTGGCACTGGTCAGTTCAAAGAAAGCAGCCAGCAAGCAGCAAGGGAGCAGCAGGTGAGGGCTGCCTGGGGCTGGCTCCAGCATGCTGGTTGCCACCGAGCACGGCTGGCTTGGGTCCCTGGCTTTCCCTCCTCCTTCTCTCTGCCAACGGCTCCTCCGAGCCCAGGTTCTTCCTCCTTGTTCACCTATTGAGCCCTGCACGTTGCAGTGTGGAGAGGGAAAACCCACTCCAGGTAAAGCTGCTTTTCCCCACCCTGGCCCTGAATCCTGTGATAAGTGTTGCCCCCCTCAACCCAGCCAAGCGAGTGAAGTCAGTGTCTGATGCTGGGGTGGGGGTGAGAGCAAGGCTGTAGGGGGGGGAAACAACTTTCACTCCTCCGTTACAAGGCCAGGAGGTACAAAGTGCAACTGTTACTGCAAAGCAACCCAAAGTTGCTGGCAAAGATCCTGTGCCAGGCAGTATGGGTGCCAAGGCGCGCAGCCCCCTCGGGGTGGCGAGGACTGGGTGGGAGTCGCCTGCGCTGCCGTTGGAAATAGATATGGTCTTGATAACAGCACCTGCCGTGGCACTCCTGATGAGTTCAGGCAAACACTGGGTAATTATCCCTTAACCTCTCCACCAATAAGTCCTAATTAATTGCCTCTGCCAAGCAGGTAAATGATAATCACCTCGGTTTGAGAGCTAGGTAGTGGAAGCAGACCTTTCTGAGTAACCACTGCACGCTGACAGTCAGCCCATCAGCTGCAGAGCCACTTTATTAAATGGCAGTAAATCAAAGGTCAGTGCAAATAGCAAGGCACTGCACCACAGAAGGGTGCATTGTTGCCTGCACGTTCTGCAGGTTGGGAGCTCACCAGAATTTCTGCACTGATTACAGAGGAGGCTTAGATCTGCTCAGTTTGCCCTAGACCCATCTTCTGCCACCGAGGCATAAGCAGAATTTGAAGATTTACAGTAGCTCAAGATTTCTGGCACCTGGCTGCCCAAGTGGGATGCTGCTCTGCTCCCGCCCAGTCTGACTGTGCAGATTGAGCAGAGGTGTGCAGTTGTCCTGGTGGGTCCCAGAAGTGCTGGGCCTTCTGCACTGTGCACTGTGCACATACTAAATCTGATTCTCACTGGGAAATTTAGGTTTGCTTTGAACATGTCACATGGTGCCTACACACCAGGATGTCCTAGGCAGAAGTGTAATTGTGGGTGCTGTGGCAGGGGGAGCCAAACAGAAGTGCAGTCCATGTCTTGCCAGCAATGTGCATACGTAAGTGTGCGTGGTGGGGACTGAAGGGATACCTGCGAGCCCCGTGACAACAGGATGCTTGATCTCACCTGGAGGTCAGGCAAGCAATATGCCTGAGTGGGAGGAGAAGGGTTATTCCAGTTTTGTAGCATAAACTTTCATTCCTTGGAACATGTTACTGATTGCCTTTCTCTTTGTCTCTCTAGTGAGGATGCAGCAGAGACAATAGCAATAGACTCTAACAATCAGCCGAAGTCTCCACTGGAAAAGTTTATGGTCAGACTGTGTACACATCACCAGAAGCAATTCATTCGTGTGCTAAACGACATATACACTGAAGTACAACCAGACTCCGAAGGCCAGCAGTTGTCTGAATCTGAGAACATGGAGGCCTCTACTTGTGGCTCTGGTTGTAGCCAGCAAAGCACTGAAAATCAGGATAAGGGTGCTACTTGTACTGAATCAAAGCCCCCTTCTTCCTCGGACCCAGGACAGTTGGGGTCCGATGGCCCCCTGCATGTTACGGGACAAGCCTCGAAGCAGCCGATGGAGCTGAAGTCTCTGGACAGAGCAGAGAGCTCCAATCCTGCTTTGAGGAGGGACTTCGAGCTCCCCATCACCAGGCTTCGTTCTGCTAGTCCAAAGGATAGCTCCACCCAAGGATACCTCAGCACATTAAACTCTTCCTCTTTGAATTTCCATCATGCTGCAAAGAGCCTGGAAGGGCAGCAAGCTGCTGGACACGAGCAAGAAGCCAGTGTCAGAAAGTGTGAGGACAGTAAAGAGCAGCTAGCAGGTAAGACTTTTGTGGAAGGTTATATCTCGGTCAAAGTAGCAAATGTGAACGGCAGCGAGGACAGCTTAGATGGCTGTCTGGGGTCCCAAAAGAGCTCTTTTAGAGCTCTTCCAGAAGAGTCCTGGGATCCCAGCTTTGCAGTGACCCCTCCTCGCAGAGCTGACAAAGAGAACACTTTGCAATGCAGCTCAAAAGCATCTTTGCTCCAGGACTTAGACGCAAAAGAACAAGATGCAAGACCAAAGCAAGAAAACCACCTGCACGCCATGGCCAAGGGCAAGGCAGGCTGCCACCTGCATCCAGCCGACAAGGGCCCACTTGACAAGTCCAAAGAGGGCTGGCTGCCCGCCAGCACTGCGCCAGCTGCCCACCGGACCCCTGGTGGGCACCCTCGCGCCAAGGCAGCCTCCCTCAGATCCACTCGTAAGAGCAAGAAGACATCGGGGCTGAGGATCAATGACTACGACAACCAGTGCGACGTGGTCTACATCAGCCAGCCCATCACTGAGTGCCATTTTGAGACCCAGCGGTCGGTGTCATCCCGCAAGACAGCGAGGAAGAGCACGCGGGGGTACTACTTCAACGGGGAGTGCTGCGAGCTCCCGACTGTCCGCACGCTGGTTAAGAGCTCCCGGGCAGAGGAGAGGGGGAGCAGCCCGGCACTGCGAACAGAGACCCTCGTAAGCTCTAAGCCGCCCCTGGTGCTCTCGGTGGGGGGCTCTGCAGGGGCAGGACGGGAAGGCGAGAAGAGGGTTTCCCTGAGGCTTCTGGCTAAAGGGGCACCAACCAACCGAGAAACAAAAGAAATTGCTGAGCCGGCCCCTGTGCAGCCCTGGGATACCCGGGCACTGCGGTCGAGGGAAGCCACAATGGCCGTGCCCTTCTTCTCCCTCTCTGCTCCACCCAGCCCCCAGAAAGAGGACAGCTCAGCTGGCTCACCACCCCCTGGCTCCCCTCCTACAGAAGGAGAGGGGATGAGAGCAGGAGGCACTGTCCCCTGGGAGGCTGGTAGCAGCCTGGGCTCCTCTGGGGATGGCAGTGGTGGCGGGCAGGCTGCCGATTTTGCTGCCCTTCCCATCTCAGAAGCACCCAGCGGGGAGGAAGGTTGCCCAGGCTCCAATGTACAAACAGATCCAGCTCTCCCCACCAGCCCAGAGCCAAAGTCCCCCTTGCAGCCCTCTGCCACTGCGGACACAGTACCCCTGACCCATGATGGTGCCAGGGATCCTGCCCAGCTTCCAAGCGCAGGGGACACAGAGCCCTGCAGGCTGTGTCTGCCAGAGCCCTCCCCATGCTCTCCAGGCCAGCAGGCTCCCGATGAGCCCCCTGCCACCATGGATGGGGAGAGCCCCCCGGAGCCCACCACCACCTTGCAGTGCATGGATGTGAACAAAAGCATTGATGCTGAACCAGAAGCCGAATTATCAGGTATGGTGGGTGACAGCTCCGCTGAACAAGAGGAGGTTGTGCTGGCCAGCACAGCCCTCCCCAAAATCTCTGAAGGGCAGTCAGTGGAGAATAACAGCCCAGCAGGTGAAAAAGAGCCTGTTGAAGAGGAAATGCTGCCTGAACCTGATGGTTCAGACACTGCAGGGAATGACTCTGTGTCTTCCAAAGACAATCTAGACAAGAAGCGAAAGAAAGGCAGGAGAGTGCTTGTGGCATCGGACCGGTGTCTCCGAAGCCAGCAATCTCAGTCGCCTGCTGAGGACAGTTCTGAGGATGCTGTTTCTTCCAGCTCTGTGCAGCTTCCTTGCCTTCAGATCAAACTCTCTAAGAGTCCTGGCGCTAAGCGGTTCAAGAGAGAGGTGCACCTGGATGGGGCTGCATCCATGCACTTCCCAAATGACTGCTTCCCCAGTGCGCTGCTCAAAACCAGTGAGGGGCCAGGCACTGGCCAGGCTCAAAAGAACATCACCGAGCAGCAGCCAGCTGAGGAGAATGGTGTCACTACCAGACAAACCTATAAAAGCATCTTAGTGAAAGAGACTTCAGCAGAGGGAGAAAATTCCTCTAAAGACAACCCCCCTGCTAACAGCAGCCAAAGTCAACCCAGTGAGATGCTGGAAATCATTGTCCAGGCTGATTCTGAGAAGACAAGCATTCTCCTCCCTCCAGAGAGCAGTGTACCTGCAAATGATGCCGAGCAAGTGGATGTGAAACCAGATGATGCCAGCGTGAATGATGAGGAGAGCTCTGACAGTGCCATAGACACAGGCAAGCTGGAGAACTATGAGCCAGTGGCCAATTCACCTCCATGTCCCAGCAGCAGAGGTGGAAGCAAGCATCTTCCAGCAAAGGCTGCAAAGCATAAAAAAGTTGCCCTGCAGTTTTATAACTTAAGACACGCACACGCACCCATAGACACTGCAAAAAAGAGCACACAAGGGAAGGAGTCTATGCAAGCGATCCCCAAACTGAGGGACGAAAGCAATTCAGGGAATGATGACTCCCCAGCATTGGAGGACATAGACATGGCTGACAGCAAACCAAAGTTCATGGAGTGGTGTGCTGAAGAGGAGAACCAGGAGCTCATTGCTGAGTTCAACGCCCAGTACATGAAAGTTCAGAAAGGCTGGATTCAGCTGGAAAAGGAGGTGCAGCCAACTCCCAAGGTAAAGAACAAAGCTGACAAACTGAAAGAGATTTGGAAAAGCAAGAAAAGGACACGGAAAAGTAGAGGCTCTCTGGAAGTGCAGAAGCTTTCACCTGTCCAGATGCTGTTTATGAAGGCCTTTAAGCTGTCCGACATCTGCCAATGGTTTCTGGAGACAACTGAAACCAGGTCTCTAGTTATCGTGAAGAAACTGAACACCCGTCTCCCTGGGGAGATCCCCCCCATCAAAGTCCCAATGCAGAAATATTCCTCCTCCAGTCTCTACCCCAGCTCACTCCAAGCTGAACGTTTGAAAAAACACCTCAAGAAGTTCGCTGCCACTACCCCAGCTCGGAATAACCTGAAGAACCAAAAGCTTTGGGCTAAAATTCGAGAGAACACTGATAAAGCGGAGGCTGAAGAAGCCACCACTCCCAGCCAGATGTCTCCCACTAATGTTGGCACCGAAGACCTGAGTGAAGACAAAACCATCCAGCCTGCCCACAGCTTGCCCACACAGGCCAGCACTAGGATCCTGCGCAAGTACTCCAACCTACGGGGCAAGCTGCGAGCCCAGCACCGCATGGTGAAAGTGGAGAAGAAGGGTGATGGCCCGGGGGACCACCTGTCTCTGGACAGCAAGCATAGCCGGAAGAGTGTGTGCATCAACCCGCTGATGTCTCCGAAGTTGGCCTTGCAGATCAAAGCGGATGCCTTTCCTGCTAAATCTCCATCAGTGGATGGGATGGGGAAGGGGCGGAAGGGGAAGAGCAGATCCCAGGAGGATCCCTTGTCCAAAGCTGACCTCCAGCTCAACAGGAAGAAGAGGATGCTGAAGGAGAGTGGGAGCACCCAGGAGCGGTCCGGCTCCTCCACCAAGGACAAGCTGCCTGCCAAGAAGGCCAGTAAAATAAAGCATTCGGAGGTCAGCGCAAAAACTCCTGCCACCCGAAAGCAGGCTGCCATGGAGAGGAGCAATAAGCTGGCTAGAAAAATGTCATTGAAAGAGAAGAGAGCCCCGAAAAGGCAGCTGGAGAAGGTGCGGCTCTCCCTGCGGAAGGGCAAGGAGAACACGAGCAGACGGGCTGTGCTGCCCCCCAGCCACGAGGAGCTAGCCAAGTCCCTGAAGCAGAAGCCCCTGGGAGAGTCCTCCACACGGTCACAGAAGATGGCCAACAAGAAGCCCAGTGGTGGGAAGACCCTGACCAGGTCCATGAAGAAGATGCAGGAGAGCAGTGGGTCGCAGGGCAAGAGGAAGCTGAGGGCAAAAGTGGACTGTTCGCACAGCAAACGCTCACGACTGGACCCAAAATAGCGAAGAACCAGTAGCCATGTACAAAACTGGTGTACAGTAGTAACCCTTTACCATGCATTAACTAAAGCTGCTTTTATAAGCTGTAGCAAGCCTTTAAAAATCCGCAGTTAAAAGATAACGCCTGTGATTTTAGGCATCAGCAGATGTGTTTTGGACAGAGAAGAGGTCGGCTTGTCTGGCTCTGCTGTTCAGAAGGAAGTTTCTGCAGTTTGAACGTTCCTTGGGTTTTTAAACTTGGAACCAGGCAGTTTTAGTTAAAAGTACAGTGCCTTATTTATCACTTTAAAAATAAAAATAAGAAGCTCGTCTGTGTGATTTGGAGGCTTGCGTTTTATACTTGAGGCACAAGCACTTGTACTGTAGCAGAAAGAAAACCACCTTCGTGCACATGAAGTAGCTTTTGGCAGCCTTCGGGTGCACGCAAACATTTCCCTTTCCTTCAGAGTCCTCCTTCTGTCTGTCTTCTTAGTGGCATTTAAAGCAAAACCAAAACCATTTCCCATCACTGAGGGAGAGAAAGGCAAATCTGTCCTTTGTTGGTTCGTTAGTAGCAGCTGCTGGTGTCCCATACTGTTACCTGCTTAAAAGTATTAATTAGCTACTGGTGTGCGTACTGCTGATGGCTGCCTCGCTCCCCCCTTGCACAGCCCGTGGGGTGGGGAGGTCCTGCTCAGGCGGAGGTGGCAGGGGAGATGCTGCGGTGGCTCTGGGTACCAGCCTGCCACATCCACTGCTGCTGGGCAGGCACGCTGGGCTGTATCCGTCTTTATTTCTTGCTGGCTTCAGGGATGAATGGGTCCTGCCGTGCCCTGCTTTTGGACAGACCTCCTTCTCCTATTTTGCTGCCCCTGTGGTGATTTCTGTGGTCTCTGACAGCAAAGCAGTTTGTGCAGTGCTTCGCTGAAGGTTGACTCTCTCCCTTTTCACAGGCTTGAGCTCCTGATGTTGGTGTTCCGCAGAAGGGGAGCCCTGGCCCTTGCCCTGTGCTCTTGTGTGCGTCTTGCCTAGCATCCTCCTAAGCCAGGATTTTTGATTGGAATAGGGTTGAGAGAAGGGACTGACTTAAGTTTATTTTTTACCGTAATTTGCATTTCATCCTTTTACTAGCAAGTTGCGGTTGCTTTGTTCTTGCTTGCGTCTGGTGCTGTGGAGTCTGAAAGTGGCCGAGCCTCTACCCTGTCCTACATGACACCTTTGCAGGGTGCCTCTGCAAGCCTCTGCAGCATGTTTAAAAGCCAGCTGGGGGTCTGCAGTGGCAGAACAGGGTCATGGTGCCTAGCAGCTCTGCGGAAAACCTGTTAGAAGCACACAGAGCACATGGCTGTGCTGGCTCTGCCAGGCGGGGATGCTCAGTGGCTGAGAAGGGTCTGTTGCAGTCTGCACTCGGGGAGAGGACCCTGCTCAGCCCTTGCATCCCCATGGCTCCACTTTAACATGGCTGCGCAAAGTCCCTTTGCATGAATCCCAATGCAAGCTTCCTCCTGTGCAGAAAGTGGCAATGCCTGGGAAGTCACTGTGCGGGCTCTGGGGTTGCCCCACCTTTAACAGCCACTTGCTGATCCCTGCTCATCTCCTTGTCCCTGCTCAGAGCAAGGCTCCGGGGCAGGCCACACATTTGAGAGATGCCTGCCCTGGGGGCAGAGGCTAGAGAGGGCTCGACTGCAACTGGAATTCCTTTTCATGGTTGGCATTGAACCCCAGATCCCAAAGCCCGTGGACTGGAGGTGGAAGGCAGATAATCATCTTTAAATCTTTCATTGTACCTATTTAGTATAGAGGATGAAACAAGGCATTTGAGATTCGCATGCCCTTCACAGAGCACCACTGGCTCTCTTGCAGGTATTCCCTTCCCCCAGTGCTGACGCACACGAGGCTGCGGCACATTTTTCTCTTACTATGAAATGGCTGATTTAAAAAAAAAATAATCCGTTACCTTTCCTTTGAATCATGCTAGAATAAGTTAACTCTCTGAACAGCTAGGAAGTGAATAAATCTAGCCTGTCAGTCCCTGTACAGATTAATATGAAGTTATCTATTACTTTAATTTTTACTGCATGCATTAAATATGTCAAACATTCCATCAGAAAAGATTTAAAAGCATTTCAGGAGAGGTGTGAGGCAGGGGGGCACTGTTGGCAGTTAAATGACTGATCTGTACCTTTCTTACAGGTTGTCTTCCCCTCTTCTCCATCCATACTTAGAGTCCTCCTCTAGCCTCCGGCTGGGACAGCCTCTCCACAGGCACGCGGGCCCAGGATTTCCCCTCCTTCCCCTGGGCCGGGCGTGCGTGTGAGCACCCCTCTTACCTATGCTCCTCATGCTGCTCCCTGACAGCAGACCTTCTTTTCCCCGTCCTTCACAACCCCTCTTTCTCCATCCTTCCTCATTGCTTCTGAAACATCTGCACTGGGCTGTGCTTGCAGAGCTGTGCAGGGTACCACACACCTGAGCGCTCCTCAGGGCTTTCCCTCTCTCCTCCTCTTTAATTTTTTAGCCGCTGGTAAATGCAGGCTGCTCTGCTCTCCATCTTCCATGCTTCTGGGAGTGGGAACCTCATTAGGCTAAAAACCTCGACAAAGCAAGTGGAGAGAGGCTTTCTGGAAGGGGTGCTGCTGCTCCAGCCTCCTGGCTGCCTTCCTGCACCCCAGGGCTCCACCAGCACCCATTGGCTGAGCATGGCAAGGGTGGGAGATGGCAGGCGTCCCATGGGTGCAGGGGTGGAGCAGTGTCTGGGTGTCTGTCCTGGTTTGGTGTGCAGTGCTTGGCTTGGGCGGTGGTGGGATCAGCACACTGAGGTTCCGGCAGTGTCCCAGCCAGGCGTCAGTTCCAGAGAGGAATGGCCAGGACCCGTCACGGGGAGAAGTCAGAGATACTAAAAGGATAAACATATTTCTCCCACCCCTTTGGATTTCCAGTCTCGGGCTGTGGTTTTCTGTCATACTGCTGTGTTTCGGCTTAGTTGGATGGAGATTTCCTGTGCTGAAGGCAGGTCTCCATGGGACAAAGCCCTGTCAGCAGACGCTGTAGGAGTCACAGGGCTCCAGGAGGGAGCAAGGTGGCATTGGCCATGATGAGCAGTGTGTGGCCAATGTGGTCTGAAACTCAAAGCACCTGCAGCTTGTCCCAGGCTCCTATCACCTTCAACTGGCAGCTCTGTCCCTCCCTAGGGGATGCCAGAGGTGTTCAGCAAGCCCTGGCTTTCCCACATTAGATCTGGCGTGTCCTGTGCAAAGAGTAACACTCATGAAATCTGTGCAAAGATCCTGCTGACTTTTAATGGGAGCTGAGCTGTGCCTCATAGGTGTAAATCTGAATTTCTTCTCCCTTTAATGAGGAAAGGTAGAGGGTGTGTTCTGTGTCAAGATGGGACTGAAAAGAGGGTGCTGGGCTGAACTGGGCTTTGGATTGTTATTCTTGTCTTCAGAAAATTAATTGAGAGTAAGCAAATAATTCTGAGTTTTTTTTCAAATAAAACCATTTCTAAATACAATTGCCCAGCCTGCAGCCTGGGACTAGCCCAGGCCAGGCATGTGCTGCATGTGCCTCGTGGGTGCCTGGCTCAGGTGGGCAGATGGCAGAGCAGCACCTTGGGCACCTGCAGGGACAGGGAGCAGTGGGTTTGCAGGAGGTGCCAAGCCGGACTGTCCTGTGGGATGAGATGATCTGGGGTCTTGTCAGCAGGGACCCACCGGCTCCCTGCTCCACTGCCCTTGGGGACAGTCCCTGGCGTTGCAGCCTCTACAGGGCTTTCCCTGGCCAGGCACATAAACCCTGCTCAGAGCTGCTCTGCTCTCTGCCTCCTCCTTTCCTCCCAACAACTCCCCCTTATTTAAAAATTACAATTTTGAGGAAAACTGGAGTGATTTGTCTCTACATTGTGCTGTTTGTGAGGAACTGGCAGGAGCATTTTCTCCTGCAGCTGCTGCACTGGGTGGTGGGTTGAACTCATGCAGGTAGTTTTTATGGAGAGCAAGCTTGTTTGCCAAGGGATGGGCAGGGTGAAGCCATCACCTATGGCTGAGTGATTGCAGCAAGCACTTGGGGCATGACCTCTCCAGCCCACCTCAAGATAGGAATATAGGTGCTTTAGTACAAATTCTCTGAATTACAGATTTGTGCAATCCTTTGGGTTACCCCAGAGGAGGATCCCCAGGGGCAAGGTAGGCCAGGGGTGGCCGTCATCTCTAGAAGAGCATTAAGGCTTTCTGCTCTGAGGAGGCCCCCAGCTCCCTTACAGGCTCCTTTCCTTGCTGCCACTGCTCTAGGAGACGCCGTCTTTGGTCCCTCTGCCTCTCCTGTGTGTGTTCTCCACTTGACACCAATAGTAGCTGCTAGGTCTTGCAGACTACAAGACCTGCTCTTAATGTGCTTTGCACTTGCTTTTGTGAGTGCTTTATTTTGGGGCAGGAAGAAGGAATGCTGTAATTTGCTAGAAAATGAAATTTCCATTTAGTTTGGTAGCAAATTGAAGGATCTGCATGTGAGGTGACTGCCTGGCAGGGTGGCATTGCCTGGGCAGCCCTATTTTCTTTATCAGTGCTCAGATATCTGAATTTTTTTCTCCTTTTGTTTTTTTCCCAATCAATTCTCATGTTGCATTACTCTTTCCAATTTACTTCCCAATTTAGTGTCTCCACACAGCCATGTTTCAGCTAGAACAGTGCAAAAGAGACACAAAAATAAGTAACGTTAATACCATATACATAACCTGTTGCTCTTTGTAAATGACTTGGGACGTGCACTACTCATTTCTGTTTGTTTTGCAGTGAGGCAGAAGTGAGGTGTGCTGCTGTTGCATGGCCCCTGCTTTAGAGAAGCCCATTTCCAATAAATGCAGCTTCTTCACAATGCACAGGATGCACAGGGAGCTGCAGATGATCTTAATGAATGGAAGGAAATAAGAAACACAATTATTACACTGGCATCAAGTGCATTTCCGTTTGCTATGGTGCAGAGCTGCCCACTGGCACTACCACAGTGCCATCCTCAGCTCTGCAGCCTCATTGCGCTCCTCTTCCTCTGGGCCATGCCGCCGCTCCCTGCTCTGCTTCTTCAGCTCCGGATTTCAGCACAAGTGCTGTGTCCCACAAAACAGACCTCTCCTCTTTCTGTTACTTTGGCTTTCCTTGCTGGCCACTTTCTCATCCTATTCTTGAAACTAGTCTCCAACTCCCAGGTTCGTGTACCAGTAGCAGCATCTTCTTAGCTCTGCACCTCCACAGATGTCCTTACTGGCCCTTTGCTGCCAGCCCCCTTCTCTCATTTGCATGGTTACCTTTTCCTCTCTCACCTTGTCATCAGCAGCTCCGGGTCTTCACACTTCATGTGGTCAGGAACCATCCATCTTACCTAACCTCTGGGAGGGGCTGGTTTTGCCGTGCTCAGAGTCAAAATTTATCTGTGTGGGAGCTGAGGGCTGCAGCAAGAGCAGTTTGAGCCCAGGGTGGCTCCTTCCATCTGTAACTGTTAGGTTCTTGTCTAGCAATGCGAGCCCTGGCATGGGTTTCTTTGCTGACAGGTTGCGTGCAGTATATCCAAGGTGTGCACATGTTTATATTCATCACTAATGAGGTCCTTTTTGCTCGTGGTTGCTGTGTGCAGTGGTGTTTCTGTGTTCAACTACCAACACGTCAGTGAGACGCATTTGCAGCAAACCTCCTCCAAAGAGCTGGCTGGCTGGTGCTGATGCTTTCAGCAAACTTTCTGCCGTGTTGCTGATCATCCTCCACGAGCCAGGAGAGCGAGATGACCTCGCCCCTGCTGCTCTCTGCGTCCTCGTCCCTCCTGTGCCAGGGGGAGCTGGACTGAGTGGGCTGGCGGGCTGCCCGAGCCACTTTTTGCTGGTGCGTGGATGAGCAAAGCTGCAGGCCAGCCTGTGTCCCAGCCGCTCACACGGCACCTCTGGAAATGCCGGTGTTTCTGAGAGCTCTGCCCCCCATAGCAACCTCCCGGGAAATAGAAACACAATCTCAGAAGGACACGGGTGTACCGCTGCCCTGTTTTTAAGACTTGTTGATGGACAGTTTCTCTCTCCAGGTCCTATTCTTTCAGCCTGACAACTGCATTCCCAGTTGAAGGCGACTAGGAAAGCTGCAGTTCCCAGCCTCCTGTGGGCATGGGCAGTGCCTGGGGCAGCAGGGAGGTGTGGGCTGCCGTCCAGCTCAGGCTCTGGCCTTTCCACCACCAGTGGTTATGCCAGGGAAAGAAGGCTGAGCCCCAGCCAAGGCGTCCTCGGGTCCGTGTCCTCGGGCTGGATGCCTGCATGGCCTGGGGGTGAGACAGGGCTAGGCTTCCCCCATGCCCAGGAACGTCACTGCAGCTTTTCTTGTAGCAGTAGGTTTTCTGAGCAAACTATGAGGCTATGATGTCCCCGCATTGCGCGTCCCCCCACCCCCGTGTGTTGTAGCGTCCGTTCAGCCCATCCTTTAGCTTGGTGGTTGTGAAATGAATCCATCTGTTCTAAGATGTTCTCAGGAGTTCTTGTTTGTATTAAGCTCACCCCTAGGCTTAGCAGAAATCATGGTCCCCATCCTTCCTCCTCCCCTCCCCTCAGACAAGCCCTCTCTTTCACGAGCACTTCCACCCTCTCCCCAAAGGGCGGTGGAGGGGGCAGCTGGCGGTTTTGATTCAGGGCACGTTGGCAGCTTGGGGGCAGCCGGAGGAGCTGGGATGCAGCCGGCCGGTGTTTGTGGCATGGGTCCGGAGGCCAAGCAGTCCCTTGGGCTGCATTGCTAGCCAATGTTTTCTAAGTCTGTTTGTAAGAGTACCTAATTTTAAAATGAAATGTGAATATATATTATGTGTAGGTGCCATGTAAGATAGTGTTGTACTAGGCGGCAGGATGCTAACCTACTTTTTAAGCTTTTTTGGGGCAGGATAAAGCATTTTTCTCTCACTTCATGCTCACAGATCTAATATTGTAAATAGTTTTTTAAAAATATTTATTTCATGGGCTTTCCACAGGTTCTTATTCTGACTGGTGTGCTGGTTGGTGGGGCTGTATTGCCCAGCGTGCCGCAACCAAAGGGCTGGCTATTGTGTGGGGGGACGGGAAGGGATGGGGTGGGGTGGGTGGTGGTGGTGTTTGGTTTGGGGTATTTTTATGTCACATCAAAGTTGAAGCATTAACTTGTTCTCTTCATCTCATTTTGATGATGTCAGACCTGGTTGATGGCCATGGTCCCCGGGGAGGCAGTGAGCTCCTGTGGCCGGCTGGGATGGCCGTTCCCCAGGGTGGGGGGCACTGCAAGCAATAAGATTTGTAGTAATAATGTCTGCTTTGATGGCAGGAGCTCTCGGGGCTCAGGGCTGGGTGGGAATAACCCCACTCCTTGTGGGGGCTCGGTCCAGCATGTCATTGGGGGGGGGGG